TACTCCCATCGCAGTGATTATTCTTTCAGGTTCTCTGAGTAAGGACTCTGAAGTAGTGTTCCTGTAGTAAGGCTTAGTAAGGACTCGTGAGTTAAAGTCAGTGCAGTAAAGTTTGTTGGTAAGGCGTTACTAATAAGGATTCTTGAATCAGAATTCCGCAGTAAATATTCTTCGTACAGGCCTTTTTAGTAAGGATTCTGAGTGGTATTCCCATGGCAAGGATTCCAATACGGTTCCCTGAGTGAGGACTCCTGAGTTATATTCCCATGATGAGAATTCCTTCGTAAGCTTCCCTCAGTGAGGACTCTTGAGTTATATTCCGTAGTAAGCTTCTGCACTAAGGTGTTATTATCAAGGGCCTCTGAGCTAGAGCACCGCAGTATAAATTCTTTACGCTTCGCGTATCCCCACCAGCCCATCTCACAACAGCAACTCATGCGAAGCATGCCGACAGTCGTGGTTTTCAGGCGTGTGTCCGTTTGGCCCCGCATATCTCCCTTGTCCCTCCTTCCTCCCGCCTCCTTGTACATCCTCCTTGTGGGGGGAGCGGGAGAAGGACGAGGCGGAGGAGGAGGGAGAGAAAGCGCTCCTCGTGGTTTGAGTCGTTTGGGGTTTCTCGTCCTGGTGTGAGTCGTTCGGGCCCTTCTTCCTGGTGTGAGTCGTTCGGGCTCTTCGTGGTGTGAGTCGTTCGGGCTCTTCGTCCTGGTGTGAGTCGTTCGGGCTTCTCGTGGTGTGAGTTGTTCGGGCCCCTCATCCTGGTGTGAGTCGTTCGGGCCCCTCCTCCTGGTGTGACTCGTTCGGGCTCCTCGTGGTGTGAGTCGTTCGGGGCCCTCGTCGTGGTGTGAGTCGTTCGGGCTCCTCGTGGTGTGAGTCGTTCGGGCGCCTCGTCCTGGTGTGAGTCGTTCGGGCCCCTCCTTGTGGTGTGAGTCGTTCGGGCTCTTCGTGGTGTGAGTCGTTCGGGCCCCTCGTCCTGGTGTGAGTCGTTCGGGCTCCTCGTGGGGCCTCTTGGGGGCCTCTTGGAGCCTCTTGGGGCCTCTTGGGGGCCTCTTGGGGGCCTCTTGGGGGCCTCTTGGGGGCCTCCTGGGGCCTCTGGGGGCCTCTTGGGGGCCTCTTGGGGGCCTCTTGGGGGCCTCTTCGGGCCTCTTGGGGGCCTCTTGGGGGCCTCTTGGAGGCCTCTTGGGAGGCTCCTGGGGGCCTCTGGGGGCCATCTTGGGGCCTCTTGCGACCTCCTCAGAAGCGCAAAGAAGCGCTGCCCCCTGAGAAGGACAAAATGAGCCCAAAACCTTTGTAAAATCAATGATTTTGCTATGAAGGAAGATGAGCGCGGCCCCCTCGGGAGGCCAAAATGGGGCCAAAACCCTCGCAAAAAACAAGGATGTTGGCTTCACAGAAGAGGAGAGCATTTTTTCTCACTCCCCCCGTCGGGGGCAGAATCCTCGTGAGGGTCGTCGTTTTTTAGCCCTCCCAGGAGTCGAAAAAGACCCCTCCAACGACCCGCGGCCCGCCCTCTCCAGACCCAGGGGGAGGGGGTAGGGGGAGGGGTAAACCCCTCCCCGAAGGGGAAGAAGCGGGTTGCCCCGAAGGGGAAGAAGGGGGTTGGGGGTTGAGGACAGAGGGGGCTCTCTAAACCACTCACGCCCTAAAGGGCTGGTGGGATTCGTCATTAATCCGTTTGTAGTAAGGACTCTTGAGTAAGACTCCCCTCATAAAGATTCGTTATTACGGTTCTTTGAGTAAGGACTCTTGAGTAACATTTCCGCAGCCACGTTTCTCTATTCAGGTTCTCTTAGCATACACATTTTAGTCAGGGTTTCTTGGTGTGGATTCTGGACTAAGGTTTCCGAGTAAGGATTCTGTAGTAAGGGCTTCTCACAAAGGGATTCCTGACCCAGTTTCCCTTTGTCAGGATTCTTGAGTAAAAGGCTGCTTCGTAGGGATTCCTCATTATGGGTCTAGTAGATGCCGAGCTCGCGTGGGGGCGACATGGCCTGGGAACTTTCGGCGCCTGTAGGCGCCTTGGCCTCGTCGATGGGATCTGGAAATCGAATCCATTCCCATCGGAGGCCGGCCCGGAAGCCTGTGCGATGCGATGCGGTGCTCCCCCCCCCTTCTCCAGAGGGGGCGTCAGATACCCGGCGTACCTCCTGTAGGGAGCGACGAGGAAGCTCGCCCCATTGGAAGGGGCTCAGAAAGACGGCGTTCCCTTGTTGTTATTGTTGTTGTTGTGTTTTTGTTGTTGGTGGTGTTGGTGTTGGTGTTGGTGTTGTTGATGTTGTTGCTGTTGGTGGTGTTGTTGTTGTTGGTGTTGCTTTGACTGTATGCGTTACAAATATTTCGCCGCTGCAGGGCTTGCTGACGTTTTTTATGTAAAAAATCAGAGGAGGAAGAGGATGAGGATGAGGATTATCATGGTGGTGGTGCTGGTGATGTTGATGATGGTGGTGATGATGATGAGGAGGATGGCGATGGGAAAAACCTCACGCCACAGAGTCTTTAGTAACTTTAGTATCACCCTTACGGGGGGGGCGGGAAGTCGGCTGCCCCCCTCTTCTCCGTCTTCTATTTCTCTTTTCCTCCCTACTCCTTCTCCTCGGTCTCCTCCTCCTCCTGCAGCCGGCCCCTTCCGTTACGGAGGACTCGGGAACGATCGGGGCCTGTGCGGATGATATTGGCATGGTCCTCCGCCAGCTTGCGCGCGTGCGAGAATTGGAGCCACATTTTTCACAGTTGCGACGGGTCGCTTCCCTTCACTTGCAGCCGATAAAATTCGTTCGCAACCCCCTCTGGACTTCTCTCACCCCCGACCTCGCCGAACAGCTTCGGGCGGAGCTGCGAGGGTGGGCTCCCAGATGGACCACTTTTCAAATCTGTGCGAAGGCCAAATATCTCAAGACGTGGCAGGGCCCCGAGGCCACTCTTATTGATGAGTGGCAGGCTCCCGCAATGAACTGGAGTGCTAGATGCATGGAGCTTGGTGAGCTGCAGTCGTCAGCCGACCTAGCATCGCGATTGTACAATTCTGCGGTTCTTACCTGCACGTCATATGTGGCACAGTTCTTTCCGGTCGATAAGGCTTTGAACGATCGTGAGTTTCGGGATGTTCAAAAGGCCTTCCACCTCCCCCCGAACTCGTTCTCTCGCTCCGAGATCCTCTCTTTGGCGAATTGGTCTCCTTCCCCCACCCCGCCTCTCTACGCACGAATGCCATGGCGTGCGCATGGAGGTGCGCGTCCGTTACGCTAGACATTTGGGGGCCGCTGTATCGGCGATTAGAGGTCGCCGCTCAGGAGTCTCTGAGCCTTCCCGCCCTCAGCAGTGGCACGTGGTGTGCACCGTGCTGGACCCGCCAGCAGGCCATTGTGCAAGATTATCACGAGCTTGCGTCCGCCGCGCCAGCATCGAGTCCTCCCCTTACCTCATCGCACCTCCGTATTGCCCAACAGCGGGCGCGCGGTGCCGTGCGCGCAGCGATCGCACTGAATCGTCGACCGCGGATGCAGGGAGTGTATCAGCGCTCCCTGGCCGGCGACGCGTAGCCTGACCAGCTGCAGCTGCTAATTGGTCGGCGTTTGCGCGCATGGTTTTCGTGTCCGACCCCCATCCGGCTCAGGGAGCGGTGGTATTTGGTGCGGGGCATCTTGAGCCGAGCTCCGCCCATGGTGCGATGGCCGTACATCAAAACGATTGCGGGGAGGTGGACGACCACTCACCAAGTGGAGCTGCATTTTCGGGTGCCCCCAACCCGATCGCATCGCACACTATTTGACGTGCCCCCGCCTCACCCATCTCGTTTGTCGTCCTCGAGCTGTCGTCTCGTCGTGCCCCCTCCTCTGCCTCGGGCTTGGCCTTCCTGTGCAATATCCCGCGTTTGACCTCACCCGGGAAAATGCCATTTTAGCTACTGCCCTCAGCTTCTATATATACCACATGACCAAGGAGATGGCCTCGTATCAAGACGGGCGCCCTTTAACTCTGCCCCAACAGCTAGATGCCCTTCAAGCGGCGCTAGCAAAGATGCCCAACAATTACTCGATTATTCCGCCTCCGCCTGGAACGGCGAGGCCTTACCCTGGCTGAAACCCACGAGGCGTTGAGTGCCCGAGTAAAAGTTGGAAGCGGGGGGGACAGGGAGGAGGCCTCATAAGCATGCGACATAAACGGCAAGAAGAATACGACAAAAGGACGCCCGCGAAGAAAGAACTAAGAATACGCAGAAGACGAAGAAGAAGAATCAAGAAGAGGAGGAAGGAGAAACAGAATCAGTAATCCTACACATACTAATCATAATAATACTTCTAATAATAATCATCATAATCACGGAATCAAGTTCAATAGAATCCTCCTCCCCCATCCTTCCACCTCCTACATCCTCTCGCATCCCTCAATCCCCTTTTCCTTCTTTCCTCTAATCCTCCTCCCTCACCTCCTTCTCCTCCTCCTCCCCTCCTACTCCTCATCTCCTCCACCTCCCTCCCTCTTCTATCTCATATCCTCCCCTCCTTCATCCTCCACTCCTCCTCCTTCTCTTCCCATGACTCCTCTCCTCCTCCTCATCCTCCTCCCCCTCCTCCCTCTTCCTCCCTCCTCCTCCTCTCCGCCTCCTCCTCCTCCTCATCTCCTCCTACTACTCCTCCTCCTCCTCCTCCTCCTACTCCCCCTCCTCCTCCTCTCCTCCTCCTCCTCCTCCTCTCCTCCTCCTCTCCTCCTCATCCTCCTCCTCCTCTCTCCTCCCTCCTCCTCTCCTCATCCTCCTCCTACTCCCTCTTCCTCCTCCTACTCCTCCCCCTTCCTACTCTCTTCCTTTCCTCCCGCTCTCATCCATCATACTCCCTCCTCAGCTCCGCCTCCTCCTTCCTCCTCCCCCTTCTCATCCTCCTCCCTCCTCATCCTCTCCTCCGCATCCTCCTCCTCCTCCTCCTTCCGTTCCTTTTCCGCCCTCCTAGTCGGCGAGGGATGGGGGGGCGGCGGTACGGTGGCGACGCGCGCGCACGCGCGCGCAGGAGGGCGCGACGAAGGCGTGGTGCATGTGGCAGAAAGGCGGCGTCCGTCGTCCGCCGTCGTCCGTTGTTCCGTCGTCGTCGTCGTCGTCGTCGTCGTCGTCGTCGTCGTCGGTCGTCGGTCGTCGGTCGTCGGTCGTCGTGGTCGTCCGTCGTCCGGGCGTCGTTCGTCGTCTATCGTCATGGTCGTCGTGACCGCCCGTGTTCGTCGTGGTCGTCCGTCGTCGGTCGCCCGTTGTTCGCTGTCCGTCGTGCGTCGTCTTCGTCGTTGCCGCCACCGCCGCCCCCATCCGACGGATGAGCCAGGGGAGCAGGAGGAGGAGGAGGAGGAGGAGGAGGAGGAGGAGGAGGAGGAGGGGGAGGTGGAGGAGGAGGAGGAGGAGGAGGAAGGAGGGCAGGAGCAAGGAGAGGAGGAGGAGGAGGATAGGAGGAGGAGGAGAGGAGGAGGAGGAGGAGGAGGAAGAGAAGAAGGAGGAGAAAATGAGAGGGGGCGGAGGATGAGGAGGAGGAGGAGGAGGAGGAGGAGGAGGGGAGAGGAGGAGGCGGAGGAGGAGCATTGCAAGAGGCCGGCGGAGGAGGAGGAGGAGTCCCCCCCGAAGGAGGAGGAGCAGCTAGAGGAGACAGAGGCGAAGGTAGAGGAAAAGGTGCGAGGATAAGGGCTATATAATGTATATATGGAGGGGAGGAGGAGAGGAGAGGAGGAGGAGGAGGAGAAGGAGGAGGAGGAGGGGGAGGAGGAGGAGGAGGAGGAGCGAGGAGGAGGAGGAGGAGGAGGACGAGGAGGTGCCCGTCTCCCGCGGGGGCGCCTGCCGAGGCGGGGCCGAGTTCGTTTGGCTCAACTACCTGAAGGAGCACGCCCCTGGCCCGGTGCCGCACTACAAGGACGCGCGGGCAGGAGCAGGGAGGAGGGGGAAAGAGGAGGGGAGGAGGAGTGAGATGGGAAGGGTGACGGGGGAAGAGTAGATGGAGGAGGAGGAGGAGGAGGAGGAGGAGGAGGAGGAGGACCAGGAGGAGCAGAGGAGCAGGGAGGAGCAGGAGGAGCAGGAGGAGCAGGAGGAGGAGGGGGAGGTAGAAGCATGGAAGAAGAGGAAGGGGGAAGAGCAGGAGGAGGAGGAGGAGGAGGAGGAGGAGGAGGAGGAGGGGGAGGAGGAGTCGAAGCAGGAGGATGAGGAGGAACAGGGAATCGGTGGGTGAGGATTGCAAATAGGAAGGAGGGTGGAGGGAGGAGGAAGGTGATGATGGGAAGGAAGGAGGGCGGAGGGAGGAGGAGAAGAGCGAAGGGCAGAGGATGGATGGAGCAAAGCCGGGCTAACTGGTCACCGAGCTTCTCGTCGCACAGCAGCAACCGGACGCGCTTTTTGGTGCCAGCCCTCGCCTGCCGCGGGGCCCTCGCTTGCCCGGCCCGGGGGGGCGTCAAAGAACGGCTCGGGGGGGACCGCGGGTCCTCGAGGAGAGGCGCCCAGATCTACGGGGGCGCACGCTGCGAGAAGGTCACGGCGTCGGGGGTTCTGGGCCGCGCCCTGGGCTCCAAGCGGCCCTCGCCTGCGCGGCCCGCCGCTGCCCACTGTCTGCAGAGCAGGCCCAGCCGCTCACAAGATGCGCACCCCGAGGCGGCGCCGTCTGGCGCCTACGGCGGGGGCGTGTGCTAAGGGATGTGCCCAGAAGGTTTCCGACCCTGGAGGGTTCCTTACATGAGGAGGGCGGCCGTGATATCCACGGCAAAGCCTCAGTTGGCGTTCCGCCGGCTTCCAGACCCTGAGTTCCTCATCTAGGGGTTCCCGATCCAGTGTCCTCGCCGTATTTTTTCCATCGCCGAAGGTGTCGACCGAAGATAGTGATGCCGAGGAAGCGGCAGCTCGTGAGCCGCCGATAGCGCGCGCACGCCGGCCTGTCGTTCGCAGAGCCCCCCCGCGAGGCGCGCCCAGCAGGGCTGACGCCCTGCGACGGGTTCAATATTTTTTCGTATGCCATCAGACGCACTGCTTCGATCGAGAGTCCGTATTGCCGAGTTGTCTTGTCCCCGAGGACGGTGGGTGATGATGAAATGGCTGCTCCGCTTCTTCCGCCTCCTCCCTCTCCTCTTCATTGTCCTCTTCCTCCTCCCTGCTTCATTCCTTTTCCTTACAAGCTCTTCCCTGTCGCACCCCGAGGCCGGTCGGAAAGGTGGGCCGGGCGTTTCGCCTGATACGTCCTCACGATGTACGATCCTGAAGCTTGAACTTGGTAGCAGCTTGACGGATGGAGGGCGGCCCGCTTTTAATCTGTGGCTCTCGCTTTAGTGCCGCGCGCATTCGTTTTAAAAGCTTGCAAGAGATTCACGGATGGAGGGCGGTCCGTTTCCAAACTGTGTTCTCGCTTTAGCGCCTTGCGCAATTCGTGTTAGAGACAATTTTTCGATCCACCCAATGGACAACACGTGTTGCCCCCCCCAGCCCCCCCCTCTTGTAACGGTAACGCCCCGGCCCGGTCCAGTGCGCGATCTTGGGCAGCTTAGGGCCTGTGGTGCACGCAGGCACTACCAGTGCCGCGGTGCACGCGGGCGTGCACTATGGTGTACGCAGGCATTGCAGTGTGCACGGGAGTTGAGGCGCACACATCTGCTGTTGCAGCAGCAGCTGTGGTGTACACAGGCATAGTGAGTGTACAGTGTGGTGTACACATCTCAAGCGCTGTGGTGTACACAGGCGCCGTGATGTACACAATCGCTGTAGTGCGCAAAGGCAGTATGATGTATGCGTGCGTTGTGAGCTAAAATGTACCCGCGCATCTCGTCCTACTTCCTCCTCCTCCTCCCTCTTCATTTTCGTCCTCCTCGTCGTCCTCGTTGCGCAAAAAAGACACGGGCATGGATGATGATGATGATGATGATGAGGAGGAGGAGGAGGAGGAGGAGGAGGTAGAGGAGGAGGAGGAGGATAATGGGGAGGAGGAATCATAATAAGACAGCTGTGCGCAGGCTGTGCGTGGTGCATCACGCAGATCCGTTGGTGGTCTCGTACACGGATTCCTGCAACGAGCTTCTCTTGGATGATGGTGTGCATATTGGCGGTGCCCTTGGTAAAAGTGCGCGGGCCCTGAGCTGTCGACCCCATCGCGGAGTTCTTTTTACTCCTCCTGTTCTTCCTTCTGGTGCTGCTGTTCCTCCTGCTCCTGCTTCTCCTGCGTGTATTCCCTCGGCTGACGCCGGTCCGCGTGCCCCCAAGCCGCGTAGTGTTCACGGGCACCGTGGTGCGTGCAATTGACATGACGTGCGCAATTGCTGTGGCGTGCACAGGCGTTGTGGGCCCAAAATCCGAGCGTTCCATGGGCCAGGAAAACAAGTGCCCACAACCAACTCAGAAATTTAATATGATACGTTGGGGCTCCCAACGATTTTCCGGAGTTTGGCTCCGTCGGTACCTTCAGGCGTACACAAGCTTTGCGGCGTGCGCAAACACTGTGGTGCACATTGGGGTGCTGAAACAGCAGTTGCGGTGCATGCAGGCGCCGTGGTGTGCACAAACAATGTGATGTACAAAAGTGCTGCGGTGTACACGGTTGTTATGGTGTATGCAATCGCCGTGGTGCACGCGCATACCATAT